TGCAAATCTTAGAAGGAAGAGAAGGGGAGATTATGCGTATTTCCGGTCAAAGCATACGCACAGCGAACGGTGGAAAAAGTAGAAGGAGTAATAACGCACCCTATAACATGGGACGGGCAATTTAGAGTTTTTGCTAGTTCCGGCATTGACACAGGAGGTTTATCTAGGGGTAGATTTTTGGCACGCTTTTAACATGGATGTGGTTAATAGGGGTTTGAATAATCGCAATCGATCGGTGTCAGAGCTCGCATCCACCGAAGGTGACCTCACGTTGCAGCATATTTTGACTCGAAAGCAAGATCGGGTACTGGAAAAGACTAAAGCATTGTTCCCCTCTTTCTCAGTGCTAGGCTTAAGCCGTACAGGCATTGAAGAACATATAATTGAAGTAATCAATGAAAATGTGCCCTTGAAACAGAGGCACTATCCGATTTCACCAGCGATCCAGAAATTGGTATACACAGAGTTGGATAGGATGCTAGGTATGGGGGTCATTGAGGAGAGTAACAGCAGCTTGAGCTCTCCTGTGTCACTAATTATCAAGGGCACGAAAAATAGGATTTGTCTAGATGCCAGGAAGGTTAATGAGCGTACGATTAAAGACGCATACCCTCTCCCTCACATCGATGGCATTCTTAGTAGGGTACAAAATACACGCTTTATATCTGCAATTGACCTCAAGGATGCTTTTTGGCAGATACCACTTGAGGGAAAGTCTAGGGAGCGAACTGGTTTAACTGTCCCGGTTAGACCCTTGTACCAGTTCACGGTAATGCCATTCGGGCTCAGAAACGCCGCACAACGCATGTGTAGTCTAATGGACAAAGTCATACCGGCCGCTCTTCGTGATTGTGTATTTGTATACCTAGATGACCTGTTAGTTTGTTCCATAGATTTTGAATCGCATGTCTTTATTGGAGAAGGTCGCTCGGTGCTTACGCGACGCCAAGATAACCATAAACGTCGAAAAGAGCAAATTCTGCTACAGAGGTACGCTACTTGGGATACGTGGTAGGTGACGGCTGTATCCGCACAGACACCAGCAAGGTAGCAGCTATGAAGGAGTTTCCCCAACCGAAACCCCCAGAGCAATTCAGGCGCTTTTTGGTCATGACCGGATGGTACCGGAGGTTCATCTACAATTACGCGACGATTGCAGCGCCACTACACGACTGCTTGGCCAAGGAAAAAATAAAGGAGTTCAATATGACGGAAGAGGCAGTTACAGCGTTTGAATTATTAAAACAGAGCCTTATATCGGCACCCGTTCTTGTACATCCGGACTTTCACAGACGATTTTGCATACAATGGGACGCATCGACTGAAGGGGTTGGTGGCGTACTGTTTCAACTGGACGATGACAGTAATGAACGACCGATAGCGTATATGTCCGCAAAACTCAACAAGGCACAAAGAAATTATAGTGTGACAGAACTGGAATGCTACGCAGCTGTATTGAGCGTCAAGCGCTTCCGTCCTTACGTGGAAGGGTTACCCTTCACGATTATTACGGATCACGCCAGTCTCAAATGGCTTATGCAACAAAACGACCTAAGTGGACGACTAGCTCGATGGAGTCTTAAGCTGCAAGCATTCCATTTCGACATCCAACACCGCAAGGGCACCCAAAACGTGGTCCCAGACACGTTATCACGAATGAATGTCGAAGAACTGAAACCAACCAACATGCTTCTCGACATATCACTAGACTCGCCCTACTTTAACACCGACGAGTACAGGGAACTGAAGGACACTATAACTAAGAACGGAGACAGACTACCGGAACTGTGCATATTGGGCGGATTTGAAGAAGACCATACTTGGAAGCTGTGGGTACCATCCGAGTTGCGTATGGGTTTGGTGCAAGCTGCCCACAGTTCACCTTCAGAGGGTCATGGGGGGATTTACGAAACACTGTGCAGAATTCGCGAGTGGTATTATTGGCTAGGAATGGTCGCCGACGTACAAAAAGTTATTAAAAGACGCGAGACATGTAAAGCTAGTAAATCCCAGAACGTTTTCCCAAAGCCACCGATGGGCAACCAGCAAATCACCGAGCGCCCTTTCCAACGTACGAGGGAAGGAAATGTGTTTATGTTCGTTTGTCTAGATAGTTTTTCCAAGTTTGTATTTTTAAAATCTATGACGCGAGCAAAGACAGCTAAAGTAATTCAATTCCTTGAACGCGAAGTGTTCCACATTTTTGGGGTACCGGAATTTATATATTCCGACAACGAAGCTGTGGCAGAAACCTTTCGCACGTTTCTTGATAAGTATGGTGTTAGGCACATACGGACAGCATTCTACTCTCCGCAAGCAAACGCAGCTGAAAGAGTAAGCCGCTCAGTGCTTCAAATGATTAGGTCATACATCGGAGAGAACCAAAAGAATTGGGACCAACATACCAGTGATACCGCCTTTGCGCTGAGGAGCGCAGTACATGCCGCAATAGGTAAAACCCCTTACTACGCAGTTTTCGGGATTCCGATGGTACAGCATGGCGCCGCCTATGATGTCCTACGCAAGTTAAGTTAAAGACTCAGACTGTACCATAGACGTGGGAGTGGACAGGCAACAACTTTTGCGAAACAGGATAGCAGAAGAGCTAAAACGAGCTCATGAGGCAGGGGAGAAAACATATAACCTGAGAACTAAGGAGGTAAAATTCAAAGTAGGACAAATGGTATATCGCCGCAATTTCAAGCAGAGCTCGCGCGTTGATAACTATAACGCCAAACTCGCACCAAGACACATTCAGTGCGTAATCCTACGTACAATAGGAAATTCATTGTATGAATTAGGGGACACGTCTGGAAGGAAATTAGGTATATACCATGCAAAAGATATTTTTATTAGATACAGTGTGTTCACTAAAAAACGAACAGTAATTACGTCTTTTGTATAAATGTGACTTAACATTGAATACCTCAGTAGGATGTCCTTTTTCAGTCGCATGTTTGAGAAATAAACGCTTTAGTTATTTTTCGAAAGTAATTGCATATTTAAGCAAATTTTACGATGAGTGTCATTTATAAAAAACGGTTTGAAGCATACTTCCTGACAAAGCATCCTAAGGCTCCAAAATGGAGTACAGATCAGGCCGCAAAATACATGGTAGCTACCCGGACGTTTGTTACAAGATGGTCTAAGCGCTGTGAAAAAACTGGAAACGTTGACGATGAACCAGGAAGAGGACCAAAAAGGAAGACTTCAGAACGGCAAGATAAGGCGATAACAAACATTTTTCAAAGAAATCCCTCCGTAACCTTGAGAGGAGCTCAAAAAAAGCTTTACGACCGCGGAATAGAATTATCCCTTAATACAATTCGCAAAAGGTTACACGAAAAAAATGTGGTTTACGCCAGTGTACTGAAGAAACCGCTTTTGACAAAAACTCATGTCGAAAAACGATTGCTCTGGGCAGAGCAAAATAAAAACCGTGACTGGACAACTGTAATTTTCACCGACGAGTCTTCATTTTGGTTAAATAAGAGAGAAAGTCGTGTTTGGTCGGAAAAAGGATGTAAAGTTGTGCAGAGGTCCGTTAAACATTCCGCAAAGGTTCACGTTTATGGTTGTTTTTCCGCAAAGGGATTCGGAAAGTTATTGTGCTTTACCGAAAACTTGAACGCGTCAAAAATGATCGAATTGTATAAAAGAGGTTTACTGATGTCTGCTGATAAGCTCTATGGAAAAAATAGTCGAGACTGGGTTCTGCAAGAGGACAACGATCCAAAGCATCGGAGTCGACTTTGTACTGAGTGGAAACAGAAAAATGCGGTGACAACAATGGATTGGCCATCCCAGTCACCTGATGCAAATCCCATAGAAAATGTTTGGGCACTAATGAAGCACAAGATAGCTAGAAAAAATCTGACAAAAATAAAACAGTTGAAAAGAGCACTTAAAAAAATTTGGGGAGGCTTTACTACAGACTATGCGGTTAAATTATCAGAAAGCTGTACACGGAGATGTCAATCCATTTTAGATAGTAATGGTGATTGGACAAGCTATTAACTTAGACCTCAAAGCTGTATATAAAATACGTTTTAAAATAAACATTGAACTTGTTTTTAAATTTGACATTTAACACTTTTATTTATGTTCGTTTTTTAGTGAAAAGACTGTAGTTAATTTCATGTTTTATGTATGTGAGTCTTGACATACAACTTTATGTATACAGCTTAGTGTATGTCCCCTCTTACCAGCATTTCCCAGTGTTAGATTGAACTTTTGTTAAGCCCGGCGAGGAATTGCGGGTCGAGGCCACACATTGGGCTGGAGAGGAGAAATAAACTGGGTAGTTACCACAAAACAAAAAAATAGGGGCGAGCAGGCTGCGTCTGATTTTTTTTTTTTCGCACACGCTCCATGATGCAGGCACCATCGGCGGATGCGAGCCTGTGTCCGCAGTCTGTGGCGCATGCAACAATCGCCTTAGTAACAATCGCCTGAGCAATATCCACGAAAACACCAAACCATTAGCATCACCAATAAAGTTGCTATGCCTTAGCAACATCCATGAGGTTGCGATATTAAGAACCGCAATTTACAGCCAAACTGTAAACCATGTTAGACTTACCCCTGTAATAAGAGGTAGTTTGTGGTTCGATAAGCAAAGTTACCGGAAAACCGTAGGTTCGATCGAACGTCTAGTGGACATGACAGTTTTTGCCCCAAACGCCAATTCTCTATTTAAGCCGGAGTAAGCCCAGAAACAGTATCAAATAATAAAAGTTGCGATCTTGTGTGGTTTAAGCATGTGCAGTGTGAAATTTAAAAGTTCTTAGCAAAACAGCTGCAAATTATGCCATACGTGAAAGTACTCTCTATCCCATTCAGCTTATACGACTGACGGTATCACGTAACTTTCTTTCGTATGGTTTTCGATCCGTAAACGGATGTTAGGATTCGAGCCCTGGACTCTTATGGAGTTGTAATTCGATGAAATCCATCATATCAGTCTAAAAGTGAATTTTGAATTTTTTATAAGTTACGAGTTACGCATGCCAGGTGACGATATATTATATACATATGTACTTTTGTCTACACCTTTGTTGTACTATAAAAGATCCTTGTAACTTATTGTACTAATGTATTCTCCGCAATAAATCCAAATCTTACATATAATTAGTTACAGCCCGTCCCTGATAATAGCAAAACCTTTTCCCTTATCATTTTTGCTTGTTTTAGCATTTGGCTTAATACTATAATCTATAGCATTATTACATCCCTGCAATTTAATGTGTTGAATTAATTCCGGCAGCTTGTCTTCGGCAATACACGTATGAATGATATTGAAAAACTGTATCAGGTGGTGTAAGTTGTGTCTAAAAACAATTAAAAATATTAAATTAAGTATTTTTATAATATTTGCTACTTACATCATTGCTAAGATTGGCCCAAGCAACTCATTGGTTTTATACAGGTGGTATAAATAAGCACGCGTGTGCTTCTTGCAAGTTAGGCAAGAACAACTTGCTAATATTGGCGTAAAATCCTCCTTTAGACTGCATAGATAAAAATTGTTCAGAAACACATTGTGATAATTTAAAATATAGTTTAAAAATGAAATATTACCCATCATTAGTTATGTCCAAGAATGGATCCATAATTGCGCTGTTTTCGTCTGTTATATCAAGACTAAATGTAAACGCTTTAAAATTCGTTGTAGCACAGTAGGCATAAGACGTGTCGAAAATATCTACTCCTAAAGATATTAGTTCCAATATTACTGGTGGTGTGTATGCCCCAGGCAACATTTTTGGTTTGTCAGCAGGTAGTTCCTTCAAACAATGAGTCATCACAGTTATTAACTGAGAAGCATCTATTTGTGTCGCGCTGAGCCCATAATTATGAAAACCTTCAAATATGTAACCGCCAGTTGCGTTCGCTCCTTTCGCTTTGGCATGTTTAATAGAATCTGATCGGGCAAATATACTGTATCCACCAACAATCGGTACTAAAGTAAAATTCATAGATTCGTCAAGGAATCAGGGCTATCACAGAATCCATCGTAGTCCGATGTTATCATTGAATTCGAATAGCTACGCTCTGAATCACGTTCTTAGCAATTCGGATTCAGTCATCGCGTTTTCGTAAATTTTACCAAAACTCGGACTACCATGGATTCTGTGATAACCCTAACCCGACGTCGTTCGGGGTAAACAAATCAAAATATAAAACAGTAATACAAATTTTCAGTTCAGCATAAAATAGAGGAGAAAAACTATTTTCTCTCTGTTTAAATTAAGGAATCCTTATATGCCATACTTTTCGCTTTATCGTACTTCAACTAATATTTTTCATATTTTTTCCTCGCCCCGTTCTCGAGATATTTGGAAAACTATTAAATCGATTTGTTTTTGTGTTGCAAAGTTTTTGAAAATGTATTAATCAAGCTCAAATTTTATATTTATTTATCATTTATGTTTATCCATCAAGCCTATAAATTTTAAACAAATAAAACACATGAAGTGCGAACCCCGTCCATTTTGGTAAGGACCGCCCCATATATTAATCAACACTTTCCGTACTACAAATCTTGTTCCATTAATACTATTAGGTGGACTAAGGTAACCATAGAACTTTAAATTAAAATTAGTCTTGTATGGTACATTCCGTTTAGCTTCCTATCCGCTTAGCTATTTTAGTATAGCTGCACTTTTCCGGTAGAATGCTTTTTTCAGAAATAGTTTTATTTATTATACATGAACATGTTTCGTTTAACGGCATCGCGAGATCAATAAAATGATTTAATCTTTCCATTTCGAAATGGTCTAAAGACTGTAAGGTTTCGAAAAAACACAGTTTTGAATATCCGACTTTATTCTAGACACCTCCCATATATATGTCTACATACCCAATTTCAGATTCATGCGGCTTATGGTTCCCAACTTATGGCAGTAAAAAATTCCACGTGTATGGGATGTGACACGCCCCCTTGACAAACCCATTTATATATACCTTACTATAAACGCCTACCTTAAATATCTCTGCATACCAAAATTCAATTTCATGTGACTTATGCTTTCGAATTTATAGCTGATAAAAAATTCCACTACCATGGGATGTTACGCGCAACGCATCCTTTTAGAAACTCCTTCATATATACCTTACTATAAGCACCTACCGTAGATATGCCTGTATACCAAATTTCAAGTTCGTGTGGCTTATGGTTTTCAAGTTATAGCTGATAAAAGTTGCCACGCCTATGGGATGTGCCACGCCTCCTTTCACAAACTCATATATATATATATATATCTTTTTAAAAGCGCCTACCTCTATACCAATAGCTGATAAAAAATTTCACGCCTCCAGGATGTGTCACGGCCTCTTTTACAAACTCATTCTTATACACCTTACTAAAAGCACCAACCATAGCTGTGCCCGTATACCAAATTTCAAGTTCGTGGGGCTTATGGTTCCAACGTTATTTCATTTCATTTTTTCATTTCAATTTATTAATAAAATCATTAGCACAATAAGATCAAAAGAATGATCTTTTATAGCGCAACAAAAAATTCATAACAGTACATACATATAACTAAAACAGCAAAAATTACTTAAGACTAAATAAAAGTAACATAATATAATTAACAGAGTAGTCTTTTTAAGTGAGTTCTACAATTCCAGGACATATACTTAAAATAAGACTTAATTAAACAAGTATATAGATAGCACATCACAGGGACTGAAGTGAAGCTAACTGAAACATGCATACAGAGCATTTTTAGAGTTGCTTTTGTTTAAACTACTGCGAATATGGGATGGAATAGAGTTCCAGATGCGGATAGCATTGACAAAGAATAGCCGTGCAGAGCTGAGATAATTGTAGGTAGGAACAGTGAAGTCCTTTATTCGAGTGGATTTGGGGAACGTTAATTTTTCATATAGATATTTGGGAGCCTTATCTGTCATGGGACAAAAAGGAATACACAATTTCTTGCTTTAAGATATACAGAAATTTCGCAGCCAAGTAGGCGCGTTCCCCAAGCGGAAATATGCTCATAGCTAATAATATGTTATAGCTGATAAAAAATTCCGCGCCTATGGGATGTGTCACGCCCCCTTTTACCAACTCATTTATTTATACCTTATTATAAGAACCTATCATAGGTATGCCTGTATACCAAATTTGAAGCTTACGTAACTTATAGTTTCGAGGTTATAGCTGATTGTAAATTCCACGCCTACGGGATGTGTCACGTCCCATTTTAACAAACTCACTCATATACACCTTACTATAAGCACCTACCATAGATATGTCTGCGTACTAAATTTCAAGTTCATGGGGCTTATGGTTCCGAAGTTATAGCTGATAAAATATTTTACGCCTACGGGAGGTGCCACGCCCCGTTGGCGAATTCCAATTTTTTTCTTCCTGTTATAAGCCCAGGTGTCATGGCAATACTCTGCCAAAATTTCATATTATTCTGTCCATCCGTTTAGGCTGCAAAATGGCACATACATACATACATACTTCTTCAAATATATAGTAGATATCTATCATTATCCCAGTGTATAAGAATTTTAGGAATATCTCGTCCACAATGCCACCTATCGTGTACATTTTTAGTCCCAATATTTATTTTCAATTGGCTAACGTATGTTCCAAATCGGCAAGTAAATGCAATTTTTATGAATATCCCGGCCCCAGCGCCACCTAGCGGTTAAATTTTTAGTCGGAATATTTCCCTTCAAGGTACTGACATATGTTCCAAATATCGGTCTAGCCGTTTAGTAGTTTAGTGACATTCAATATACCGAAAACTATGAAATTGTTAAATCGTGACGTCTCAGCTTTGTTCATTTTTCGGCAACAACAACAAAAAATTTCAAATTTTTTTAAATCAAAAAACCTTCCACACAAAAGGTCAAAAAATGTGCTTTTTACAGAATTGAAATCGGTTCAGCCATTTGGTCAAGCATCGCCGTCATACGGAAAACATTTCATTTTTATATATATAGATAGATGAATCTGGGTGTTATTATTATAATTATTATTATTATTATTATTATTATTATTATTATTATTATTATTATTATTATTATTGTTATTATTATTAATATTGTTATTATTATTATTATTATTATTTGTTTATAAAACATTTTCTGACAAACATATCCTGAGCGTTCAGAATATATGAGTCTGAAAGGAGTCCTAAGTGGGTAAAAAATATGAGCTTCAAAAACAACAAATTAAAAATCTAAGTTCGGGCGGAGCCGAAAATTAAATACCCGGCGCAAATATTAAATAAATGTTTTTTCACCTTTCCGAAACCTACCGCTAGATGGTTAGCCGGGGTGTATCAATTTTGAGTAAATTAGCGTCCTTAAATTTCGAAATATTGCAGTTTCAAGCATTTCTGAAATTTACCGTTATATGAAAAGCGGCCGTAATTTTAGTCCGATCTCAATAATTTTCAACGTTTTGCTTTTATGTGGCTAGCACAATAAAAATACCGAGTTTGGTACAAATTGGTTGAACGGTTACCGATATATATATATGTGATCGTAAATGGGCGGTGCCACGCCCATTTTCCAAAATTTTATCATAAGCGTATTTCTTGGTAAAGGATTGTTGCAATCATCAATTTTGAATAAATTAGCTTTAATATTTACTGATTTATCGAAGATTTCTTATTTCTCCAAATTACCGTTATATGGGATGTGGGAGTGGTTATTGTCCGATTTGAAAAATTTTCGGCCAGTTGGTATCCTGTACTAAGGCCAATAAGTGTGCCAAGTTTGGAAGAAATTGGTGCAGCGTTTGCCAAGATAAGTGGGCGAGGCTACGCCCATTTTTCAAAAATTTATAATATTCTTATTTTTCGTCTAAAAATTATTGTAAATATCAATTTTGAGTGAATAATCTTCAGTAGTTACTAAAATATCGCAGTTTTCGTATTTCTGAAAATTACCGTTATATGGGAGGTAGGCGTGGTTATTGTCCGATTTTTCCCATTTTCAATACCATCCGTCCTACGCCCGAAAGAAGTACACGTACCAAGTTTAGTTAAGACATATTAATTTTTACTCGAGTTATCGTGTGCACAGACGGACGGACAGACAGTCACCGCTTAATCGATTTCTCTTTTCATCCTGATCATTTATGTATACATTTGTCTATATCTATCTCGATTCGTTTTGCCTGTTACAAACAACCGTAATGTGAACAAAGTTATAATACCCTTGTGCACAAGTGCGCTCGGGTATAAAAAATGTGTGACTCTTATATGAATATTTTAGGAGTTAGAAATGATCGAAGTTAGGAGCTAGCACTTTGTAGCTATATAAAAACAATAAAGATTCGAAATTTATATCTAAACTTGTTTATACAGAAATTGAAAATATTTAGAAAACAAAAAATATACAAAATTTAGCTGCAGCTGCTGCTATTTAATGTATGTTGGAATGTTTATATGAACTGAGGTATGTATACATACATGTGTATAGTATTTAAAGTTCAACACGAGTTGAAAAATAAGGCCAATATGGCTCAAAGGACAACATAAAATAAGAGTCCGAATGAAGTTATTTATGAGGACTATAAGACACATTTAAGAGCCTCAAAAAAACTCTGAAATGAGCCTTGTATGAAGCCAATAAGAGTCCAATATGACTCATTTGCAGGCTCATTTGATGTATGAATTTAAGCTCATATAAGTCGACCTTCGGCGGAAGGAAAACACACCAATTTCGGGCTCTTAAATTAGCTCATTATGAGCGTAAAGGCTCCAAAATGGGACTCCTTAAAAACTCATTTATGACTCCAAATGTATATTTCATTGATATGTACATATCTCTCGCTCATAGGTAAAGCACTTATTGAATTTTGTGTTTCGTTTTGCGCATGCATTTTCTTTTTGCTTTAAAATTTCAATACTTCACACAAATTAAAAAACGTGTTTCTCGATAAGTCAATGCTGAAACCACACGTTTTATTTCCTTTTAAATAAA